TAACAAACAAAATGGAGGCTGGCTGAGGTATTCTGGGAGTTGAAGTCCACCAGTCATCAAAGGGCCAAGTTTGAAGACCCCTGTCTTAAATCTAACAAACAAAATGGAGGCTGGCCGAGGTATTCTGGGAGTTGAAGTCCACCAGTCATCAAAGGGCCAAGTTTGAAGACCCCTGTCTTAAATCTAACAAACAAAATGGAGGCTGGCTGAGGTATTCTGGGAGTTGAAGTCCACCAGTCATCAAAGGGCCAAGTAGGAAAGACCCCTGTCTTAAATCTAACAAACAAAATGGAGGCTGGCTGAGGGATTCTGGGACTTGAAGTCCACAAGTCATAAAAGGGCCAAGTTTGAAGATCCCTGTATTAGACCAACGTGGAGAGCCAATAGCAGTAGGAACACATCAGGCAAAGAGGGTGTCCTTGGATGGAATGCCCGTAACACGTTTGGCATCCTCCTGGAAGGCAATGGGTGGAGAAGAGGAGGAGAAGAGCTTGTTCAGATTGGTTCATGAGCTCCAGGCTAGGTATTCTTCCTCTTCATCCTCCTCCTATTGTCTCCACGACAGTCCTGTCAGGTAGGATGGACTGGGGAAGAACAGGATGGGTTCCAAAAAGATAGCCATGGCTGGCGGCGAACCGAGATTCTAGAACCTCGCGTTCCTGGTCTAACGTGTCAAGCATTCCAACGCGCCTCCATCTCGATTTCTTGAGTCCAAATTGTTGCCTTGGGTGGGAAGAGGTTCTCCAAAGACCAGCAGCTCAAACGGAAGAACCGGGGGAAGGAGCACAAGGCCGAAAGCCAGAGAGCTGCCGAGGAAAAGTTGTGTGGCTTGGCCATTAGGCAGTCTATGGAGCCGAGGTCCTTCCCTGGCCAAGCTTCCACCATCACCCACCTCCAGCTCTATCGTCAGCTCCTGAGGGGTCTCACCTGCTCCGCTTCCTGCAGGACCTCGCAAGAGGTGGTTGGCCAGAGGATCCGTCCTTTCCTCTACTGTCCATTTTCTCCTCAGCATTCGGCAAATAAGTCATTTGGAGACATGTACCCTATAGGAGGGACTTTGTGAGCCAACACACACACACACACACACCAGGAAAATTGCAAGAAATGAAGGGCTGGGTTTTATGTCTCCCGTCCTCTGCATGCTGTTTTTTTTTTTTTTTTCATGCCAGGGCTGATCTCTTTGTGGTGCTGCAACCGCTGCCTTAACACACCTGCTCCTAAACCCGAGTAAGCATTTTAATTGCTAGGACAGTGGTTCTCAACTTGTGGGTCGGGACCCCATTTGGGGTCGAACGACCATTTCATGGGGGTCGCCAAACAACGCAGTCCGCCATTTTTTTCCCCCTTTTCCTTAGCTGTGCTACTCCGTTTTATTCTATTGGCTTTTGAAAGCCAATAGAATAGACTCTCTTGAATAGAGTCTAATGCTATTGGCTTTCCAAAGCCAATAGGAATTGTCTAGGCTGTCTCTGCCCTGCTGAGCCTGCCAAAAGTCCCATTCTGCAAACGGTGCTGCACCAGTTGAGTAGTCCTCGACTTACGACCGGTTGGGGGTCGCGGCATTAAAAAGGTTGAGAACCACTGTTAGGAGCACCTTCCCTCTCAGAATGCCTGTTCATTCAAGGTCATCCTACACACACACACACACACACACACACACACAAAAGGGATGTGGTTCCTGTAAGCTCTCCACTGAACTGCCTACTATCTTCAAGCAAGAATTTCGCTCCAGTTTTTCTGCTTTGGTTTATCCGCCTGCAAGCTGGGCTTCTTTCAAGTCTACCTTTATTCCCCCCTTCCCCCATGCATCTCCTGTTGGTCACCCCATCATCCTCTCCTCCAATACCATCAGCCTTTGCTTCTAGCAATGTGCTTTGTGTAGTCCATGTGGGCTGCAGATGAGAAGGATGAAGGGCTGTTGACCACTTTTTGTGTGCCTCGCCCCCCCCACCTCCCGTGTCGTCCCTGCTCTGCTGGGTTTACCTGCTATCTGGGTCAGAGTGGCATGGCTGCCACAAGAGATGAAGTCCATTGTAAAAGTTGACCGATAACAAGCCATTGAGCCCACGAGGAGCCCCCATCTCAAAAGGGACTAGAGGCTAAAACATACAAGGAACGGTTGCTGGAATTGGGGATGTCTAGTTTAATGAAGGACGAGGGGCGACATGATAGCAGTCTTCCAATATCTCAGGGGTTGCCCACAAAGAAAGAGGCAGTCAAGCTATTCTCCAAAGCGCCTGAAGGCAGGACAAGAAGCAAAGGATGGAAACTCAACAAGGAGAGAAGCAACCTGGAACTAAGGAGAAATTTCCTGACTGAACAATTAACCAATGGAACAACCTGCCTCCAGAAACAGTGAATGCTTTAACATAAGAAAAGACTGGACAGCCATTTGTCCGAAATGGTATAAGGTTTCCTGCCTGAGCAGGTGGTTGGACTAGAAGACCTCCAAGGTCCCATTATTATTATTAAGATTCCCGTGGCTGCTAAGTCAGGTGGGTCGTACGAATTGGTGTCGGCCAAAGATGCGTATTTATCCGCAATTAAAATGGTAAAATAGGAGCCAAAAGATTCCTGTTGCCTTTCCCAAAACAGGATGCTGACTCTTGTGTCTTGTTTGCCTAGTTTACTTGCGTGGCGGCCTATTCTTTTTCGTTTACTCTGGCTTGCCATTTCGTCGCACCGCGAACTCCCCAAATGAAGCCTAAGGAAAACGACGCATTATAGACATCCGATAGCTTTCAGTAAAATTACTACTAAATGCTGCTGAAAGAAACACGGGTCTCCAATTACAGATCAGCTGGAATGGGGAAACTTTTATTTGTCATTAGTCAGTAGTACAGTACTCCACACCTTGAACAGGATCTTGTAGTAGGGAAAGAAGAGCAGGCATCCAAGAGGAACTTCACGCGTTTTCGCACTTGTTAAGATTTGATGAGGTCTCTGGGAAAAACAGCTTTTCTGAATTACTAATCGATCCCAACTCTCTTTGAGAAACATTCCTGCATCACCAAAACTGGACGGGATGGTCTAGCCCAGGGTTGTGTTCTGTGCAGGAGAAATTACGGCAACGTTGTGCGGAGCGAGAACATGATGCAGCAGCACCGGTACATCCCAGGTCCAAAAGCTTGCTCAGTTTATACTTCATAATATTCATTTTTTTAAAAAAAAAAAAAGCTGAAAATTTAGTCAAGGTTCATCATTTCCAAGCCGTTGCTACCCTGACAGCCTTTAACCTGTTCAACTCAAGTTGCTTCCCAAGCCCGACACAAGTGTCTAGTCCCTCACGTTGCCAGTTGTTATCAGCCTTGGTTAAACAAGCATAGGCCAGTGTGGTTTTTCCTTTCTCCATAAACCTTTATTCACTTAATTGTGGTCGAAGCACTACGGAAACTTGGTACTTCTATAGTTTCCATGTAAAATTGGCTCTCCATCTTCCAATGTCCCACTCTCTTGTATATAAGTTAAAGGTTGGCCGAAATTATCACTGTAAGCAAGGAACAGCTGAACAGGTAGTCCCCAACTTACAACAGGTTGTGAGACATTGGTTAAAGTGAATTTTAACCGCCCTTCATGCCACAGCTATAACTGAATCACCGCACCTGACAAGTTAGCCCCCTTGACTTTGCCTATCAAAAGGCCGCAAAAGGGGATCACGTGACCCCAGGACACCGCAACAGTCATAAGTACATGCCAGTTGCCGAGCCTCTGGATTTTGATCACATGATCATGGGGCTGCTCCAAAGGCCGTGTGAAAAAAATGGTCACAGGCCGCTTTTACCAGTGCCGTTGTTAACTTTGAACGGTCACTAAACGAATTGTTTGTAAGTCCAGGACTACCTGTGTGTATATCACAAGCACCGTCCTGCGTTCAAGGCTTTCCTAATTTCATTTTGACATAAATCACAGAACTTTCCTTAGATTTATCAAAATATAAAAGCAAGAGACGTTTTATCCCAGCTAACTACTTCCGAGTTCTTTCTTTTAATGATGCGTAAAGAACAAGGAAATATGAAATCTGTGTTTACACAATTACCACCAGGGTAAATAATATCGTGATGATCTCATCAAAACATAGACCGTTAAAAAAAAAAATACAAACACAAATGGCAAATTGTCAGGGCTGCATTTGCCCCAGCTAGGATTTTAACAAAAATGTTGAGCAGCAACAATTATTGTTTTTTTAAAAAAATAATAAATATCAAAGAAATACCAACCAAAATTAAAAAAAAGTCACATTTCCTTTGGCTTCTGCCAGTGATTTACATGACTGTAAAATAAATCACACAATCAACTGGATGCAGAAATGGGATGTGAAAAAGCAGTGCCTCATATTGCACAAATAATTATTATTTTCTGCGTCATAATATCCGAGACGATCGATAATTTGAATATCTTGCAGAAGGGAATCCTGCACGCCCATCTTGACTGCTCATTATTATTATTTTTTAACAGTAATGTAACGTACGACAGATTAGCAAAAACTACCAGTAGCCCATTCATTGCCTGTTCTTCAGTTAAAACACAAGATTATTAATGTAAACGTTTCTATCTACAGTACATAAGAAATTGGACTAAGAAAAATAATTTGATTATGCTCCATGTGCGCCATTGCATTTCGCTTAGAAGAATTTGCAGGGCAGCGCCGAAATTCTCCCTAACTTTCAGCAAAAAGTAGGTGTTTGGGCCTTATATAAAACTTAACAACCTGGAGTGTTCAGATCTCTCAATCAATACAAAGATACACTGTTCTTTTAGCAGGACCATTCATCCTGGAGAAATTTACTACCGACATTTAACATATATGTAAAATAAAAAACCAACAAGATTTCCAAATGTCAGTTAGGGAAAAATGCACACAAGGGGTGGGGGGTGTCTTGCATAACCCTTTATAAGCAACTGCTAATTATGTCCCAAAAGCTGACAGCATCACAACAGCGTAGGCTAATATAAAAAAAGGGTGGCATTCTCAATGTTAACAGAGACCCAGTTCTTTTCAGTAAATTCATTCTAGCCAGAATTTATTGAAAGAGGTTTGATTCCTGCGGAAGAAATAAAACAGCAGCTCCACTGGTTTGTGCTATGTCCAAAGATCCCAAACCTTTATACAATTGTGTAGAAATTACAACGCTGGAAACACTCGTACGGGGTATTATTCAAAAGGAGAACCACGTGAAGTGGGAAAACTAGGCTAGATGGCACCGATAACCCCACAAATTCTGGAGAGGTCATAGTGTGTGATTATTGCCACTGTGTGTGCAGCTGAAGGGGAGGCTGGGAAGGAGGAGAGTGTTCGGGGTTGTTAACCCCGACGGTGGCGCAAATATCAGAGTCAGCCCCCCGTATTTTGAGTTTCCGAGACCCACCTGGAAAATCTTTAGGCAAAAAAAAGTTACAAGGATGAGTACTCAAGTACTCCGAGTGGTGTTTTGTTCACTTCACCCCCCAATAATTGCTTAAAGTGTCTATGTAAAGTACAAGCATGCAAATATAAGGTCAGTCCACAGGCATGTAGGATCCATTAAAAAAAAACAAAACACGGTAAGGGAGCCGGGATGGGTGACATCAACAACGCTTGATGATTACAGACACAACCTGATGGGTTCTGAATAAAAGTCAAAAAAAAATCCTGGCGCAAATTCCTGACATCGGACTCGGTCGCGCCGCTAACGCTACGGCAGAACAGGTTCCGTCCCCACCAAGTTGGTTTCCGATTTTTAGCCAAGCTCCAGGAATTTACAATATTTAGTAAGGAAAAAACTAAAACAAAAAAAAAATTAAAGTATTTCCCCCTTGGGTTTTTTTTTTTGTTTAAAATTTACACAGATGTTTAATTAGCTTTATTTACAGAGCAGTTTTGTTTTGTTTTTGTTTTTTTCAGTCTCCAATAGGGCCTAGATAGCATCAGGCGAGAATGTCAGTTTTTTTTTTTTTTTTAAAAGAGAATCTATATTGAAACCTAAAAAGAAGAGAGAGGTGGTGACGTTCCTCCAGAACAGGCAAGTTGGGCTACGCTGAAGCAGTTGCCGCACAGGGCTCAGTTACTCAGAAGGAGTTCTGTCGCTCTCTCTACATCCCATGATTTTGATGACAAGGCCACTATTACCGCATTCTGCAAAAAAAAAGACAAAAAAGCAACTGAGGTCAGAAAGGGCCCCGTACTTTAAAAAAAAAACAACCCACAATTTTCACCTGGCTGTAATAGAAAGCACACCTCCGACAAGGGCTAAACCAGGGCTAGGCAACCTTGGCTCTTTGATGACTCCTGGACTTCAACTCCCAGAATTCCTGAGCCAGCATGGCTCAGCTTGGAAACCTCTCCCTTTCCCCTCAGCGTGACTGGCTCAGGAATTCTGGGAATTGAAGTCCACGAATCATGAAGGGACCATAGTTCCCCCACGCTGGCTCAGGAATTCTGGGAGCTGTAGTCCACAAGTCATAAAAGAGCCAAGGTTGCCTACCCCTGGGCTAAACTGAAGCAAGAGACTTAGCACAGAACCGTATGGAATGCAGCTCCACGAAATTTCTCAAGCAGCAGTAGCTCCCACAGAAAAGAAACCACTAAACAGGGGTCTTCAAACTTGGCCCTTTTATGACTTGTGGACTTCAACGCCCAGAGCTCCTCAGCCATGAGGTCCTCAAGACATAAAAGGGCCAAGTTTGAAGACTCTTGTTCTACTCAGTCTAGAATTCTACTAGATCAGAGGCCTTCAAACTTGACCCTTTTATGACTTGTGGACTTCAACTCCCAGAGTTCCTCAGCCAGGCACGCGTGCCTGGCTGAGGAACTCTGGGAGTTGAAGTCCACAAGTCATAAAAGGGCCAAGTTTGAAGACCACTGGTACAGATAGTCCTGCACTTAACATTTGTTTTGTCGCCGTTCCAAGTTACAACAACAGTGGGAAGAAGTGACTTAGGACCCTTTTTCGCACTTAACAACCTATGGCAGCACCCCCAGGGTCACGTGATCAAAATTCAGAGGTTGAATTTTGAGGATCACGTGATCCTCCTTTTGCGACCTTCTGACCCGCCGAGCCAATCAGGAAGCCAGATTCACCAAACAAGCGTGTTAGAGCCGCCGTGATTCGCTTAAGAACGGTGGGAAGAAAAGTCAGGACGTTGTGCAAACATTCCCTTAACCACCGCCCTAGTTAGCAGTGGAAATGGGCTCAGCTATGGCCGTAAGTCAAGGACTACCTGTAATTCTGGATCTTGGGAAAAGGGATTGGGTTAATAAAAAAATAAAATTAAAAGTTTAGCGCACTTGGCAACGGTGCCTATACGAGAAGGCGAGGCTTACCCTATCAAATCCCATAGCACAAAGATTTTCTATCTTCTTGGTATATTCCGGACTAGAAACGGGTGCTCCAGCGTAAACGTGCGCCCAAAGCCGAGCTGTCTGTTTAAACATTTCTGAATTCTGTTTGTACTGTGTCAAAGGAAAAAAAAGAGAGAGAGAGAGGGAGAGAGACCACGTGAAATCTTACAGAAAGGACACAATCTGTATCTAGTGTGGAGAAATGTGTAAATGTGTAATACTCTTGACTTTTTCCTCGGAAAGCCAGCAAGGGGGGGGGGAGCAAAAAGAAAAGCATATTTTTCACTAGCTTGTTTTCAGATTTTTAAAGCTCTTCTTCCTGTTAGGGAAAAAAAAGTACCGTATATGCTGGCGTACAAAGTGACTCAGCGTATAAGACGACCCCCGTCTTTGGCGACGAGCCGCATTCCTAGAAACGTCGCCTTATACGCCGGAAACGACCAGTATTTCCGGCGTATAAGACGACTCGGCGTATAAGACGACCCCCGTCTTTGGCGCCAATTTTAGTGCTTGCGGAAGTTGCCTTATACGCCGGCATATACGGTACCCTTGAAAAAGGGGATTTTCTAAAATGGAAAAGGGATCAAAAAGTTGTACCTGATTTGCCACGACTGCATCTTGAGGGTCATCGGGTTCCGCAGCTGCCAGAAGGGCTTGCAAGGATAACAACACTGTTCTTAAAGTCATCGCTGCAGCCCTGGGGGAAAAAACAAAACGGGTTGGAATTGAGTTCACACGTACACCCTGGCTGTAGATGATGGGAGATAGCGAATGTTGCACGGAACCTTACCACTGATCTTTTAGGATATCCAAACAGATAGCTCCAGTGACTGAGCTAATATTAGGATGCCAGATTTTGGTAATAAACCGCACCTAAAACAGAAGAGAAGCGGTGCTGAAAATCCGCCCTACGTAATGGGCAAGTACCGTACTACAGTGGTCCCCAACCGTTACGACTCTGTGGACTGTGGTAGGGATGGTTTTGTGGGGGTGCATGTCACTTACACAAATGCAGCTCTGTGTGCTTGCCCGCCACGTCTGGATCCCAACGGGCCACAGCCTGGCACCGGGCCACGGACAGGGGTTGGGGGTCCCTGCCGTACAGGACAATTTTACAGTGTTTTAATGGACAATGTCGGCTGGTCCCCAAAGCAGTGATAATCTTAACATCTGCGTTCTTCAGATTCAGACTGGTATTTATTTTGAATTCGTGTTTTGTGTTCTGTGCTCCTACGTAGCCAAAACCTTCATCTAGAGCTCAACCTGTGGGTCGGGACCCCATTTGGGGTCGAACGACCATTTCACGGGGGTCGCCAAACAATGCAGTCCGCCATTTTTTCCCCCTTTCCCTTAGCTGTGCTACTCCCTTTTATTCTATTGGCTTTTGAAAGCCAACAGAATAGACTCTCTTGAATAGAGTCGAATTCTCTTGGCTTTCAAAAGCCAATAGGAATTGTCCAGGCTGTCTCTGCCCTGCTGAGCCCGCCAAAAGTCCCATTCTGCAAACGGTGCTGCACCAGTTGAGTAGTCCTCGACTTACGACCGGTTGAGTAGTCCTTGACTTACGACCGGTGGGGGGGGGTCACGGCATTAAAAAGGTTGAGAACCACTGATCTAGAGTTTTGAGAAAAACGGCCCCCAGATATTGGTCGTGGTGCTCAATACTGTCAAGGGTTGTATTTTGTCCGTGACAAAAAGAGAGCCCGCTGCTACAGCTACAACCACAGTTCCCTCATTCAGACCTTCTCACAAGGACACAAAACCAGACTAATCTCACCTCCCAATAGCTTGGGGAAGACAGGAACATTAAACCTAGATTTTGGTGGGGAGATGATGACAATCTCATGACAATCAGCATCAGAAACACTTACTTCTCCAAGTTCTAAGCCAGGGGTCTTCAAACGTGGCCCATTTATGACTTGTGGGCTTCAACTCCCAGAATTCCTCAGCCAGGCACGCTGGCGGAGGAATGCTGGGAGTTGAAGTCCTCAAGTCGTAAACGGGCCAAGTTTGAAGAAGACTCTTGCTCTACTCGGTCTAGAATTCTCCTGGATCAGGGGGTCTTCAAACTTGGCCCGTTTATGACGCTTGTGGACTTACAACTCCCAGAATTCCTCAGCCAGGCACAAAGGCTGAGGAATTCTGGGAGTTGAAGTCCACAAGTCACCAAAGGGCCAGGTCTGAAGACCCTCTGTTCTAAACCCACCTCTAATCTGCTTCTTGCTTTTAATAAATAATAATAATAAAAAAATCTTTCAAACTAAAGATCCCTGGGAGAAGCTGAGAACTAAGTCAGTCTCTTTCTGCCCCTCTAACTTACTGCATTCCACTCCTCGGTTATTAACATTGTTCTTGAGAAGAAGGGGTGTCTCAAGTTTCAGAACACACGTTCTTGGGGCATAACCTTTCGTTTGATGGCAGCTTTTGTGAAGGAAGACCTCTTGATCGGACACGGACGGAAGCGCAGGAGCAATGTTGGGACTTTGGAGAGCTAGAAAAGTGTGTGGGACAAACTTTCCAGGCCAAAGGGGGGAGGGGGGCAGGTGTGGCCTGTTCTAAGTGGCCTTCCTGAGTTTTAAGTTATCTGCATTTGGACTGTCAAGGACCGAATTTTGGTGGATGAGGCATGAAATTGTGTGCTGAACCACTATAAAGGGCGCTCGTCCTCCCAGGGGTAGTAGGCAACCTTGGCTCTTTTATGACTGGTGGACTTCAACTCCCAGAATTCCTCAGCCAGCGTGCCTGGCTAAGGAATTCTGGGAGTTGAAGTCCACCAGTCATAAATGGGCCAAGTTTGAAGACTCTCTGATCTAGAAGAATTCTAGACCGAGTAGAGCAGGGGTCTTCAACTTTGGCTCTTTTATGACTCGTGGACTTCAACTCCCAGAATTCCTGAGCCAGCATGGGGGAACTATGGCCCCCTCATGACTCGTGGACTTCAACTCCCAGAATTCCTGAGCCAGCACGGCTCAGCTTGGAAACCTCCCTTTCCCCTCAGCATGGCTGGCTCAGGAATTCTGGGAGTTGAAGTCCACAAGTTATCAAAGAGCCAAGGTTGCCTAACCCTGGCCTAGGCTCCTTTTTAAAAATGTGTTGTGATTTATAAGAATTGAGTGAAAGAAGTACAGCTTCACTGGATCATTTCAATTAAAGCTCTTAATTGTATTAGTTGTCACTGATTCACAGATGAGAATATAGAAATTCTGTACAAATTCTGTACAATTATTACTGTTATTATTTCTTTATTATTATTGTTACAGGGGAAAAACCTTACTTCGGCAATTTGCTACAGTTTTATCACTGATCTGTTTTTTTTTTTTGTTTTAAAAGTATCCAAGAAAAATAAACATTTTCACCCATCGGTTCCACGGAAAACACAAACAAGCATATATGCAATTTGCTAATATTATCCTTGACCATTACAAAAAGCGTTCTCGTTAAAAATTCTTATTTCATTGAAATGATATTAGTACAGGTTGTCACACTTAACGCAGAGAGACAACGAATTATTTTTACACAATTGGGAGTTTTGTCGTACAATAAAGCATTTCATAAGCAGGGATTTTTTGACAAAGCATCATAAAAGATAAATGGGGTTTTTTCTTGGGGGGGGGGGGCTGTATTCAATTAGAAAGACCTTGAAGGGGCAGCCAGGACAAATTTTAAAAAAAACACAAAACCACTGCGTAAAAAAGTTTCAACTCTAAATAAAGAATCCAAAGAATTATTCACAATAATTATGTTCACCATACCTTAGGGGGATTAAAAGGATACGTTTCTGGAATTTTTATTTCTAATTGATATCTTCCTCCTATAAAAACCAGAAGATATAACCACATTGAAGACTTATCAGACATTAATTTTTCACAGCGTTGAACTTGCTTTTATGTTAAAAAAAAAACAATGGGATTTTTAAACGTTTGCTTTAGTTCTAGGGCAGAATGGACTCCTTTTATAATGGAGCTGGAAACTGTACTGATTGCCTTCCAGCCTGTTTACCCCTACCATTATAACTATTAGACAGAGTTTGCAAACCCCTTGAGGTGGAAATCCTTTAGAGCATCACCTGTAATACCACACTAATTGCTTTTATTTGTTCCTTTGTCTTTTAAGCCCTTGGCACAATTTACGAAAAGCTGTAATGAAATCCTCCATTTGACTGAACGAAGCTGAGACTATATCCCAATACTCCAGTGACAATTTAAGGGTTCTCCCAAAAAAAACCCCTATATTAAAATGAAAAGAAGTCTCCACAGCTATTCGCTAACCGTTTTAAATGAACATCCAAGTCTTCAAATCGGGTGGGGAACGATGACCCCCCCCCTTTATGACTTGTGGACTTCAGCTCCCAGAATTCCTCAGCCAGCCATGCTGGCTGAGGGATTCTGGGAGCTGAAGTTTACAAGTCATAAAGGGGGCCATTGTTTCCCCACCTTTGCCTTACATCAGGAATCTTCAAACTTGGCCCTTTGATGACTTGAGGACTTCAACTCCCAGAATTCCTCAGCCAGCATGCCTAGCTGAGGAATTCTGGGAGTTGAAGTCCACAAGTCATAAAAGGGCCAAATTTGAAGACCCCTGCCTTAAATGAAGGAAGACGCATTGTACTTTCAAAAAAGTGTTTTCCGTTAACAGTTCCAAGCATTTGTCATTCATATTTTTTTTAGGACAGCTTTTCACCAGATCTTTTCACCAGAGCAGAAAAACACAGATCTCAATGTACTTAAACTTTCTATATATTTGCCTATCAACAGATTCCCCACCAGCTGCCTGGGGATTTTGTTGCTAGGCTGAGTCAAGGAAGGGAAGGTGAGAAAAGAAAAAAATAAATAAAAGTGCCAAAAAACCTGTCCGACAGTTACATTTTCAGTGAAAAAAAATCAACCTATAGACAGTGGGTCCCCCAACCATTTTGGTTGCTATCTGGCAATGACATTTGGGTTGGCTTTTTACAACTTGGGACTTCTAATTCTTAAAATATTATCCGTATTCTGAGAGTTCTCAATGTTCAGAATTTAAATACACATACCTTGAGGATGCCCAGGTAACTGCTTTAGGGAAACAGAATACCCTATATTTTTACCTTGCTCTAGCTGTCTTATTAATGTAAAACTGAATCCTTGTGCAATTGTTTCATTGTGGAAAAACTAGCAAGTAATAATGACCGAATGCCGTTTCAAATATTTAAGATATTTTGACTGGTAAATTAAGCCATACTTCCACCCCCCCCCAAAAAAAAAACAGACCACAAGAACTGTGAGAGTTTACACACCCGCATGAGTACTATAAACCCGACAGCAACTTGGTTATCCTTGCATTAAAGATTAATTTCAGGGGTAAATTACAATATTTATATTTGCAAAATATTTATGGTGTTTGGCAAAGAGCTTTCAAAACATATTGCACTCGCAAGCTTTAGGAATTAGCAAGATTAGAAAAAAAAATCTTAAGATTGGCAGGAAAAAATTACTTGCCTTCATACGGTGTGTCCGGAGGTCCTGCTATTTCTCCTCTTAATTCTGTAAAATTTTCATCTACAAGATCTACTTTAATTTGATTTTTGTTCGTCTTAAAAACAAAACAGAAAAAAAAAACAGTTAGAGGTTTACTATGAATTGGATTCTTTGGTTTTTTTTTTATTTAAATCTAGACCAGCGGTTCTCAACCTGTGGGTCGGGACCCCATTTGGGGTCGAATGACCATTTCATGGGGTTCGCCAAACAACGCAGTCCGCCACTTTTTTCCCCCTTTTCCTTAGCTGTGCTCCTCCCTTTTATTCTATTGGGTTTTGAAAGCCAATAGAATTAGACTCTCTTGAATAGAGTCTAATTCTATGGGCTTTCCAAAGCCAATAGGAATTGTCCAGGCTGTCTCTGCCCTGCTGAGCCCGCCAAAAGTCCCATTCTGCAAACGGTGCTGCACCAGTTGAGTAGTCCTAGACTTACGACCGGTTGGGGGTCGCGGCATTAAAAAGGTTGAGAACCACTGATCTAGAGAGATGAATTAGCCATATACGCTTGTCTTGATAATTGCCTTTTAATTTCAAATTTGAGCCCAATCCTTTCAGTTCTCTTTACATTGATCAAATACTCAATTGTATAGCAGGAGTCTCCAATCCCTGGTCCGTGGACCGATATCGGTCCGCGGCATGCCAGCAACTGGCCCACAAAAAAAAAAAAAAAAAAAAAAATCCCATCCGTGGGATGCAGGCAGCACACAAAACCACGCACCCTCCGGTCCGCGGAAAAACCTCTCCGTGGAACCGGTCCCTGGTGCCCCAAAAGTTGGGGACCTCTGTGCTATAAAACGTTCCACAGGGATCCTTCCAAAAACTGCTAGAAAACAGCAGCCGAGACCCAAAACTATATAAACCACACGGTTGCTACTGCTAGCAATTTCTAGCCTAAGCTTTTGATACGTGGAGCATCAACCCGCTCCTCATCTTCCTAGTAGTTGGGCCGTGCTTCTCTCAACCCCTGATCGTTCAATAGTAGAGGACTCTAACTTCTATAGCTGCACTAACAGTCTATCCCACGACTTTGTGATTTCAATATCAGATCAAAGCTGTAATCCTACCACTATAGACATTCACAGACTGTCATGGTTCCGGCAGATGAAACTCTTCAAAGAACTTCAAGGCATTGTTTACCGGCACGTACACGGTCGAAGCCGAAATCTGAATTCCCTTCCCCTAAACACATAGTATCAAAGTACAGTTCCCTCCTCTAATTAACAGTCATAAATCACATCCTCCAATTAGTTTGAAATGCAGACCTTCCCTCCAGTTCTCCAACCCACCATTCCTTATCATCTCTTATTTCAAACAACCTTGAAAAACATTCTACTACGATGTTGTTATGTCTAACTAATTCCCATACACATTCTTCCTTCCCCCCCCCAAGTCTCATTTAATTCTAACGCTAAAAGTAACACACGTTTAAGGGGGAATTGGCTGCTTCTTCATATATTGTCAAAGCAAGAACATCCGATGTTAGCAGCGTTGACACAGACATTCAATGAAGATATTTTAAATAATATGCAGGTAGTCCTTCAGTGACCGTCTGAGGTTACGAAGCTACCACGGGAAAAAGTGACCGACCGTTTTCCCCATTAAGACCGTTGCACCGTCCCCACGATCACCTGATCAAAATTCTGTTGTTTGGCCCTTGGTATGTATTTATGACGGTTTGTAGCATCCCAGGGACATGTGATTCCGCTTCTGACAAGCCAAGTCAACGGGAAAGTCAGATTCTTGCATATTATTTGGCATGTCTCAATAGGCAGAAGAAGTGTCTTGACCAGGGGTAGGCAACCTCGACTCTTTTATGACTCGTGGACTTCAACTCCCAGAATTCCTGAACCAGCATGGCTCAGCTTGGAAACCTCTCCCTTTCCCCTCAGCATGGCTGGCTCAGGAATTCTGGGAGTTGAAGTCCACGAGTCATAAAAGAGCCAAGGTTGCCTACCCCTGGTCTCGACCAACAGGATCTTGGCTTGGAAGCTCAACAGGTTTAGGATTTGTTAGTATGTTGATAAATCAACAGGACATTTCAAAGCGGTAACTTATACTGGTAAGTGGAGCAATTTACTGGGAAATATCCCTGGAAGAAAGAATGACAAACTAACTTTATGGGTATATCCACATAATCCCCAAGACTGAAGCTTTAACTTGAGAATACCTTCACGTTTCTCTTTTTTTTTAAAAATAATAACATCTTCTCATTATAAGTATTAGAAAACATTCCCCAAATAGTGGTAGCAGGCAACAGGGGTTTATATATTCCACTGTTCTCTGCTTTTCAATCACTGGGGCCGTTTTGCTGGAAAAGCAAACCAAAAGCAACTGCAGAACATGATTGATCAATATTTCCACTGCTAGGCATCTGTGAACATACTTTTAAGGCAAAATAATGATGGTATTATGTGGTGATATCAAAGCTACACCTGTAAAAGGGTCCCGGCTTCTGAATTCTTTTAGCAAAATTGCTCGAAGGGGGGGGGGGGGAAAGCATGCAGGAGGAAAGGAGTCAATAATTTATCTTGACATTTTGTGTTTATAAAGATGCTCTTTCAAGAGGCAACTGGACCTTCTTTTCTTGGAAGACGTTTCGCTTCACATCCCAAAAGCTTCTTCAGCTCTGACTGGAGGGTGGGGAATGGAAGGATTTATACTCCTTGCAGAGGGCTGGTCATTTGCCTTCTTTCAGAGAGTCGTTGAGGCCACTTGGAGGTTTACCTGTGTCCTCAGGTCACCTGAGTGGTGCAAATGGATGCGGGGGACACAGATAAAGTTGCCTCAACGACCCTCTCTTCAAACTTGGCCCATTTATGACTTGTGCACTTCAACTCCCAGAATTCCTCAGCCAGGCACGCGTGCCTGGCTGAGGAATTCTGGGAGTTGAAGTCCACAAGTCATAAAAGGGCCAAGTTTGAAGACCCCCTGCTCTAAAAGAAGGCAAATGACCAGCTGTCTGCCAGGGGTATGAATCCTTCCCTTCCCCACCATCCAGTCAGAGCTGAAGAAGCTTCTGGGATGAGAAGAGAAACGTCTTCAAAGAAAAACAAAGGAAATCCAGTTGCCTCCTGGAAAACTCACCTTTGGGACAACCAGAACCTGGATGAACTGAGACTCTCCATTAACTGTTTATAATGGAGCTTTATTTGCTTACAAAAGGTGTCAACTGAGGTATGCTTTGCTCTCATTTGTATATCCTACACCAGAAAATGAATTCTACACAGGGTTGAAGGAATCAGATTAGTTCGGGGGGGGGGGGGGAACGGCAGATTCTGTCCTGAAATCCATTCGCAGATTAAAATTAAATGTGGACCTAAGTCTAATTGGTCACTTTGCTGAAACTGGAAATCCTTCCCATTATCTCATCTTCCTTTGGAATGTAATTTATACCTCCCTATTGTTTTTAAGTCGCTTAATACTCGCCACGGGCTGCCTGTTTACATCACGCCAAACTTGGTGACTCTCCCCAATTATATCCGACATGTTTACATGTACGGTTAAGAAACTAATGACACGTTTATGTCTAAATAGCACGTATTTTTCTTTTTAGATTGTACTACTTTTCCTAAGAAGCATAAACACATTTGTTTTGGGGATTAACGTTTCTCACAGTCCAATTGCACGTTTGCAATAAACCAACTACCACTTTATCTCCTAGTAGCTAGTCACTCTAGGTGGTCCTTAGTTTTTCTGGGTGTGTTGGAAACGAAGGACCCCAAAGTACTCAGGGTATGGTATTAAAACGGTTGTCGTTTTACTGGAAGTGACCAGAAAGATTTCCATTATCCTTTGGTGCTCGGCAAAGTGGCTTCCGTTTAGATCAATTTTCTTGTTCCTACTGGTTAAAACCATTTTGAAGAGGCTTCAATAATGTTACAATTGGAGTGTATAAATAAAACCCTGCCCTTGTGAAATATTTCCAGCAAGTTTTTATATAGCCAGCCTATACCCTCCACAATTTTTCCGCCTGAGCACAACGTCTGTATTACTGCAAATATTATTGTGTAAAATAATGTTGTTAAACAAGTCGCTCTAGTTCACTACCACTAATTTGCCTCTCAGAGGCCTTTAACAGACTTAGCTGTCTAACCTTTACAAATATTTATTTGGGAGTCTGTGTCTGCAAATGCTAGATTCTTTTTTTTCCCCCACTCTGGAAGACCTACAGTAGAATGAATGCTTAACGCCTCTGGAAGCAATATAATGTACTCATTTTTCAATGGTGATTCCTCCCCCTCCAAAATCAACTAACCTACAACAGTATCCCCACGATCTTTCAAAACTACAGATTGTGAAAAATAAAAATGAAACATTCCCCTTGGCAGTTGTTATTTATGGCCTCCATTAAATACACCTCAGAGTCCACATTCAATCATTTCTCTTCTTCCGCAGCTCAAAGTCAGCTTGTCTTCTCTTAGAAATTCTTCATCTACTGTTGCACCTTTGGTTGAGATAGGCAGCTCCATCACTGGAGGTTTTTAAGAAGAGGCTGGACAGACACTTGTCTGAAATGGTATAGGTCAGTGGGGGTGAACCTATGGCACGTGTGCCACAGGTGGCATGCAGAGAGCCCTCTCTGTGAGCATGGGCGCCATCGCCCCAGTCCCAGGCCTTCAGCTGGGTTTTATAAAACCTTTTCGCTTTAGGCATCTGCTGACATGTGCAAAAAAAAAAAAAAAAAGTTCAATCAGTCAATTTCAACTTCTCGCGGGGAAAAAAAAATCTCGCAAAGTTGGAATTGATTGATTGAACCTTTTAGTGCCACCCAGTCTGCCTTTACCACCACGGCCACGCCCACCCAGCACCCGACGATACATAAGTGGTTTTTGGGTTGCAGTTTGGGCACTCGGTCTCTAAAAAGTTCGCCATCACTGGTATAGGTTCTCCTGCTGGAGCAGGAGGCTGGACTAGAAGACCTCCAAGGTCCCTTCCAGCTCTATTCTATTCTATTCTATTCTTCATTTATTCTATTCTATTCTATTCTATTCTATTCTATTCTATTCTATTCTATTCTATTCTATTCTATTCTATTTTCTCCTGTTGTATTCTATTC